CTTTTCTTTTTTTAACCTTTACTTGGGATGGAATGTACCTGTGACCAGATTTATATCATCATCATATTTTCAAGCCTTTCTGGGCTTGTGCTTCACAGCCACACACCCCGAAGAAAAAAGTACCAGCAGACTTGGGGTTAACCATGAATGGTCATAAATGTAGAAAGAACCATCTCATTTAAAAAAGGAGAGCTGTCCACACACATAAAGAAATTAACCGCTGATTGATAGCTCAGCTGGTAGAGCATGAGAGTCTTAATCTCACAGTCATAGGCTTGAGCCCCACACTGGGCAAAGGATTCTTCCATGGGGGGTGGACTAGATGACCCTCATGTTCCCTTCCAATTCTATGATTCTACTTCATTAACTGTACATCTGAGATGGCACAATTCTATGAAGTATAGCTGGATCAGCACGGTCTAACATGCCTTTTTTCGCAGCCCTCAGCAACATGTGATGCCGCCGTCGTCCTCGCAGCCCCCACACTGCCTTCCCAAAGCCGGGTGAGGAGGTGCTCGACTTTGGGTCCTCCAGACTCCTTCCCAAAACCTAGTTAGCACTTTCCCAGATTTGGGGAGGAGGCAAGGGGGCTCCAGGATCCTGCCAGAGCTGCGTACCCCCTTCCCAAAGCCTGATGCCTTGCTCTGCTAGCTTTGAAAAGGCGGCACAAGGGGGTGGGGGTGGTGTCAAATTTTGGCCCCCCTCCCACCCCAATTATTATTATTATTATTATTATTATTATTACCCCACCCATCTGGCTGGATTTCCCCAGCCATGTGACAAGGCAGTGTGTGCCCCCCCCCCCGCCTTGGTATGAAATGCTGGGTGGCCCTAGGCTAGAGCTAGGCACACGTGTGTTGAACCCCTGCAAAAACAAAGAAACAAACACAAAGAGAACCCAAACTCAAATACAGTCCTGGTGACTGCCAGGACAGGAAAACACTGTGTTTGTGGATGAGACAGAATGGGTTGAGCCCTAAAGGAAAGCACTCCAACTTTTCTTGCAGGGTCCCAGTTGCATATACTAACAATGATCTCAATTATCTGAGGGACAGTCCATACAGGACCATTCACACAAAAGAGGGAGGCTTCAGGAGAAGACAAGGTTTGCAGAAGTATTTCTGGGGAGGGGGGGAACCCAGGGGAGATCTTCCCCCTCCCCTAAAAAAAGTACTGCAATGTGAACTGATTGTGCTCAGTGGGCACAGAATGCTGCCTCACTGCTGGAGGAAAGCAGGGTGAGGCAGGAAGAAAATAATCTCAGAAGCTGACCATTAAACCCCGCCATTACACTGTGCAGAATTTTAGAACAACAACTAGAAAACACAAAAGCAAACAGCTGTGGCTTGAAAGAAAACTGAAAAGTCTGTTTGGTGTTTGTCAACCTTCCCCGTCCTGTTGCCCGGAAGTAACGCAGGGAGCAAGTTCCCAAATATACCTGCCAGGCCTGTAACACTGGAAGCACAGGGTATTTGCCACTTTTCACTCATCTTGACAGAAAAATTACACACAGCAGCTTGCGGCATTTTCACTAGACAAGGAGAAATTCTGTTTTGTTTAAATATATATACTGTTTGTTTGGCACCTCAACGACCTAGGTGCTTTTCCAAAATACAACGAGAAACCAACTTGTGCCCAAAGCTGCCTACAGCCAACTTCAAAACATGGTGTTGGAGCAGTTTTTCTTGCTCCTCAGTTTTTGTAAGAGGCAGATCTTCTTGTTTTGTCAGCTCTACCCGCAATCCATCTTCTTGTCCTCCGGCACCAGAGGGAAGATTTACACCCAATCTGCTGGGCTTCACAGAGATTTGTGCCAGCAGAATGCTGCTGCAAATCTCCAGTGCCCCTTTGTTCCAATGGGCTTCCGTCAAATGGAGCAAGCCCACTGTTGCAAGAGATACACACACCAAGGATCACGCCCCAAAGCCGTAACGCTGGCAGGGATTTCAGACTGTCACCTTCATCTGAAATATACACAGCTTCTCCTCTCACACACCTTTTTTTCTCTTCGTTCTGTCTCTCCAAGGAGCTGAAGGTGCCAGATGTGAAAGCTACCCCATTTTGCCCTCACAGCAATTCTATGAGGTTTCTTCAGGTAAAGCAGAGATCGGCACCTGTGGCCCTCTAGGGGTTGTTGGACTCCAATCCCCATTACCCAGTGCAACCAATGGGATAATGGGAGTTGTAGTTCCCCGCTAAGGGATTGTGATTTGTCCAACACCACCCAGTATGCTTCACAGCTAAGCAGAGATTTCAACTCAAGTCTACCTAGCTGAGAATCATCACCACTCTGTTAATACCTGCTTCACATAGATGCAACAGAAACTAAAATCTCCAGTTTAAGTCTGAATGTCAGGGTAGGGCGATACAACCTTTTCTATAAATTAGCAGCGGCTGCAGAATTTCTGATTGAAATTTATTCTAGCAACTGGTGCTTCTACATCTCTTATTAGATGCTCATTAGAATCATAGAATTGCAAAGTTGGAAAGGACCCTGCAGGTCTCCCATAAGGGAATAAACCTGCAACTTTGGAGTTTTCAGCACCACACTCTAACCAACCGAGCTATTTAAGACACAGAGACTGCTTAATTTTCAGAAACTATATACATTTTATTCTACACCGTGCAGGCAGTTACTCAAGTAAGAATTTGTACCCTGGTGCAAACAATGGCATTTGGGTCACTATTTATTTCATCAACTATGCTGAATACTAGAACTATGTTTTTCAAACTAACAAGGTTAAGTATGTGGCGGGAGAAACAGTTAAGATACCAGAACAGGGGTCTGCAACCTTTAAGACAAAAAGAGCCACTTGGACCCGTTTCCGAAGAAAAAACAACAACTGGGAGCCGCAAAACCATTGCGACATTTAAAACAAATATATCTCCGGAGCCACAATCTGACAGCGGGTGGGAAGGTGATGTCAGGACGGTGCGTGACTAACGCACACACCGCCCCCATGCGACGTCACAGCCAGTACAGCGCCCGCCACAGTGAGGAGTGTCAGGGCGCACAATGCGCCTCCTCCCCTTGCTAGTATCGACCCCGGAGCCGCAGCAAAGATGTAAAAGAGCCGCATTCGGCTCCGGAGCCGCGGGTTGCAGACCCCTGTATCAGAAGAACCTCAACAATGTAAAAAAGGAAAAGGAATATGTTCAACAGTCCATGACAGGCGTGAAACAAGATGTGATTTGTTTTATCTGACCAAAACAAGGAAGTAGTTTTATTTGCAAATGCAACTGAAATTCCTCATCAAACTGAGATATGGGTTCACTTCTTTTGAACAGAAACAGCTTTGTTTCTCTTCAGCAGAAGAAACCCTCAACTGGACTACACCAGTATGCTCTCCAGTACCTCCTGTGCTGCCTGTGAAAAGTCTCAATAAATATTCCCTTTATAAAAAATCCAGTTTGCTCTTCCTGCTCAGTTCCTATATGAACTGGCTCACCCTCTCCTACATTGTAAACATGCCCACATTTCGCTGGATATCAGGAGCGGCTGTGCTGATATCCTCCTCCATTTTATTCTGAGCACAGGAAAAGTGCTCTCTGGGAGCAAGCAAAGTGGCAACTGAGATGCCTAAGCTATTTATGGATCTCCCTCTTTCTCTGCTCTTTTAGGTGTGGCAGCTCCTTTGTATTATGCCACACCTATCCTAAGAGCCATGCTGGATCAGGCCAAGGCCTGTTTTCACAGCATCCGCTGAAAACATCATTTCAGTGGCCAACCAGATACCCCTGGGAAGTCCACAAGCAGAACCCACCTGTAACTGGTATTCAGAGGCATAGTGCCTCCAGCAGCCCCCATGGCTAGTAGCCACTGACAACCTGACCCTCTATGAATCTGAAAATTCTGTTTTCAAGCCACTCAAGTTGGTGATCATCATTACACCATGTGCAAGGAAATTTTACAGGTTAACTATGTGTGAGCATGGAATACAGTGTAAAGTTGTGGTGGTTGCACCTCAAAGAAGGATACTGTAGAGAGAAAATTCAGAAATGGGAAACCTAAGTGACTGAGGGGCTGGAACGACTTCCTTATGAGGAAAGATTACTACAGCTTGGGCTTTCTGGTTTAGGGAAAAGGTCAAGGGGGATATGATAGTGGTGTTTAAGATTGTGCAGGGGTGGCATATACCGTTTTGCTTCTTGAGGTAAAATAGGAACCTGCCCCCCCACTGCCCCCCAATGAAGGTGACAGTTGGAAGCTTCAGAGCAGACAAAAGCAACTTTGAGGTGCAACGAGCAGAACTTTACACCGTATTCCAAGTCTGGTGTCACCATAGATTTGCATAATGAAATTATGATATTGCCAAGTTTATCTTCAATCCTTGCCCTGGAATGGAATTCACATTTTTCATGCTGTCACACACTGGATCACTACATTCACATGTCTTTTAGTTAAAATAATTTTATGAGGATTGCCTCTCTTTTGAGACAAAAAGTCATGCGACCGTAACAGAACGTCTCCCAAGTTACTGGAATAACACCATCATAATCATTGGGCTCACTGCCGGGTGAACTCATAACAAAATACTCATCTACACAGTACATAAGAACTTAGGAGCTTGAGAATTGCCTTGATGGATCACTTTAGAAGTCTTGCAAGACACTCCTGAGAAGCTCACACAAAAGTCAGGATAGCAATTTTCTCTCTCCTTTATACATTTTCTGCTTCACAAATATTTCACACTGGAATTCTATCTTTAGAGTCAATATTATTTAAGACTCAGAAATAGAATTGCTTTTTAGTGGTGTTTATATTTAGTTCTTAAATGCTCTGTACTTAGTTTCCATGGATAAAATTACAACATTGATGTGAGCTTTCAACTCTCCCCTACTCAGACATCTTGGTGACGAACAGGCGGGGGGACGGGACAGGAGGCAGCATCTAACTATTCTATTCTCAGGTTTACAGAATGAAGTGAAAATGCTACTCATAAGAGTATTGACACACTAGCAGTTCCAAAAGTATAATCGGGTATTTCCAGATATCTCACCTCTCCTTTCAGAGAATAACAGATTTCTTTCCATGGCGACTGTGGCGCTTGCCCCTAGGATGTGTCAATGAAAGGGCTAAAATGGGTGTGGTGTGATTGGCCAGTGAAAATGCAAGGGGGGAGTAAAAGATAGAGTGGGAGGTTTTGAAAATCAGCTGAGGTCTGGGGGTTGACAGTTGAGGTTTGTCAGTTGGGAGTTGAGGCTTGGGGGTTGGAGAAGGACGAGGGTGGAATACGCAGTGGGTTGGTTGAGTTGTATTGGGAGAGAGTGAGAGGAACTGTTAGGGAGTTAGATAGAAAGTTGGGAATAATTCAGTCTGAAGTTGTAGGAACTAATTTGGATTGATCTTTATTACGGCCATTGGCCCGTTACACGACAGTTTCCCATACCAACATATTATACTTAAACCTCCAAATTTAAAATCGCCAAAACTTACAAAAGACAAACAGTAACCGAAGCAAAACAAAAACAAAAACCACCATCATACAAAACAGAAACCACCATCATACATTACAATAATTTTGTAACCTATACATCGCCCTCTGCTCATAAATTAATCAGGGATATCAATGGTGATATCGCCTAAAACACAGGTCATGGTTTTAAACAATGGTGATATCACCTAAAACACAGGTCATGGTTTAAAGGGGTTGTCCGAATCACACAGGAGACCGTTTCTCTTCTTTAGGGATAGGACACTGATCAGGAATCTGGCAACCATGAGTGATTTTAGGGGGTCATCATCAATTAGTAGATATCTCAGTTTGGCTTCAATCGTATATTGTAGGAACTAAGATTTAAGAAACTGACAAGAGAAAAATAAACCGACACCATACGCTTATTCCTGCACTTAAAAATAAACTTGTTTATTTGTTTACGTTAACAACTGTCTGGACTCCGTGTGTCCCCATGAGGAGCGGGGTGGTGGCAGCGAAAAAAGCAACCGCAATAGACGGTGAAACGTCCGGGGGCCCTGTGTGATCGCCACAGCGACATTTTCCCTGGCCTAGCCAAGCATGGGGGGGGGGGTCCTCATTGAGCAAGTGATTCACATCTCAGCCATACATGAGCAGTTGATCAAACCACACACACACACCCCAGTTGAAAAACTCATGTCAGGAAAGGAGGAAAAGAGGCCATTTTCAAAGCTACACATAAAAGACATAAATTACTGAGGGAAAAGGTGGGGGGGTATTTTCTTTTGTAGTTTATTCTTGCTGTTTGTAAAATATAAAAAGTGATGTTATTCATTTTGCAACAAACAAACAAACACACCCCCCCAAAAAAAAAACTGAGGAAGAAAGTCAGCTGGGACCAGAAGTCAGAAGCAAAATTTAGTAATGACTAAATATAGCCTCTAGATGTTGTTGGAATTACACCTCTCCTCAGTCACAACCAGCATGTCCAGTGCTCAGGGATGGAGGGAGTTTGAGTCCAAAAGCACATAGAGGGCACTCGGGTCTCTTATCCGTGGTCTATACCAGTGTTTCCCAACCGGTGTTCCGCGGCACACTAGTGTGCCGCGAGATGTTGCCTGGTGTGCCGCGAGATGTTGCCTGGAGGGAGGCGGGCGAGTCCAAAAAAGGTTGGGAAACACTGCAGTAACATATCTTAACCGCAGGCAACACGGTTCATATAGAATTTGAATTCAAACCTCCCTCCGCTGCGCCTGCCACTGAGGCTCCCTTCGCGTGCGCGAAGCCCAAGCCCTCCTTTAGCGACGCGCATGCCCAAGAAAGGCGTTCACGCCGCCAACATTTCGCCTCCTGGGATCACGTGGCTGCTCAGGTGTTTCCATGCGCGCGAGGGGGGGCGTGGTCATTCGCATGCGCGGGCCTCCCAAAAGGTACGTTGGTTCGGAGGGTCCCCGCCGCGAGACGCTGCGCTCCCTTTGCCTCTGAAGGAACGAGCCAATCACTCGCTTCGTCCCTAAGAGCGTGGGCTGATTGGCCTCGCTCCCGGTGTTGAAGGATCTGGCTTCGCAACGTCCTCCGCCCGTGCTTATTGGAGGGAGGCGGCGGAGCCATTTTAATTCCGCACCGACGGCTGTAAGGGCGGGTAATGGCCGCTGGAGGATTTGCCGATGCCTCCCGCTCTCAGATACCGCTGGTGGAGCCTCTTGTCTGGCTTCAGCAATTATTATTATCCCATGGCAAGGGCTCTCAAGAGAGGGCAGCCTGCTGCTTAGCAGTTTTGGGACTGCACGGAGTGTGCACCACGTGATTTCTCCGCATTGGAACCTTGTTCACACGTTAAGCTGAACGTTCCAAGCTGTGTATACGTGCGTACACGTTTGTCTGAAAGTGTGCCGTTGATCATTTTTGTACAGTTCCACTGTTGCGCATAAAGATATGCAGTTGGTGTGAGTTGAATGTTATATTTTAATAACTACAAGTGTACACCTGAACTATTCATGTATGCAGTTGTACGGATTGTATACATGTTGGATCTAAGGTGAAGAAGGGGCGGGGTACTCTAAACTGGACACGGTATAGATTACTAACCCTTCATATACTGTGAGGTCTAAAAGAGAGGTGAATACATTGTATTGTACTTCTTGAGACATTTGGTTGTTCATTAGCAGAGAGAATTTTCATTAGATCAGTAAATAGTTAATAGTAAGAGTGGAAAGAATTGTTCTATTGGAAAAAGTGACCATTTTAAGTTTTAGAATGACAAGCTTCAAGATTTGTATTTATTTATTTATTCTGACATTTTTATACCTCAGTTTTTATTATCTTCTTAATAACAAAATATATAAAATAAAATGCAGAGAAATAAAAATCTCTCTCTCTCTCTCTCTCTCTCTCACACACACACACACACACACACACACACACACTGCACAGGAGTGGGACCAGGAGGAGGGACCCCTCCATAAATCTTAGCTGCCAGCCTGGCACATAGCAGGAGGGGTGCTCCAACAGGTATCTGAGTACCAAAAACACGCACAATCATTTCTGTTAAAAACAAAACCAGACAGTGTAAAATACGTACTTTGATTTGATTCCTATTAAAGAGAATTACTTTATATATAGTCAATATAGGCACAGAGTTAATTTTTTAAACATTTTCTAATGGTGGTGTGCCTCAAGATTTTTTTCATGAAACAAGTGTGCCTTTGCCCAAAAAAGGTTGGGAAACACTGGTCTATACATTCAGAGCTTATTCACACTTCCCTTTCCTTTGCTCTTTCCAGGCACAGTATGTGCTTTAAAACGCCAAGTCCGAGCAGTCTATTTTGCAATGGAGCTTTTCCCACGAAAACCCGCTCTTTAAAGCTCAATCTGAGCAAATGGCAATCCACGGACAACCTGACCTGATGTTTGCTCCACCTGAGGGCTAAAGCGAGGGTTTTCAAGGGGAAAGCTCCAGGACAAAACAAAAACCAGCACTCGGACACAGAGCTTTAAGTGTGGACCTGTGCCTGGCAAGAGTAGGGCAAAAGGTAAGGGTCAATGGTGGCAGCTGAACTGGGAATGAGGGCAAGAATTGATTGTGGCCTGAGGTTCCTCATTTGCAGGATGCACAGGACAGAGAAGACAGACAGAGAGACAGAACAGCAGGGAGGAAGAAAGAGGAGCAGCTCCAGATACCTGCTGAATTATAGAGTGTGCCATTTCAGGGGGTAAAACTTAATTTTCACAAATTTCTTCAGTGAGGAGTCTTAAAAATATGTTTTTGGCTGTGAAGAATTCAAATCTGCAATTATTTTTGTGACTGGACAACATTTAGCTGGGTAAGTCTATATATGAATAAGAAGCACATAAACTGCTTTCAGAAAACCAAAGAATTTCAATATTACCTTCTGACAATGTCAGTTAATGCTTAATAATAATAATAGTAATAATAAAATATCAATATAAAGCAACTACAAGTACTTGGCACTCACTTTTAATGACTTCTGTGCAGTTTTACACACATTTTATTTACCAAGCAATCTAAATATTCATTTAATCAAAATATATTTTGAATTCCCAAGTCATATTACAACTTTTTATTAGCACCCCTCATTTCTTGGAATATGGAAGTTGAAAAACTCAACACATTCTGCGTACCATAAAGGCTTCCGTGCAAAAACATCAGTCATCACATTTGCACACTACCAGGGCACCAAAGAACTCAGGCAATGTAAGTGTCTGCATGGTGTACTGAGAGGGACGTGGGCCTCATTAGTCGTCATCTATTGCAGTGAGTTGCTCAATTGCTGAGACGGCTAGAGCACCGGTGGCGGAAAACTCCTTCTGAACTGGACCAGACACACTTAGAGCTCAACGTTGAGCCTACCAAGTGGTGATAGTGATGGTGAATAGGACCTTCTTCACCACCTCTATTGCATCTGTAGAAAACAGCAGCAGGAGACTCTTTCAGGTGGTTCGCAGTTTAACAAAACCACCTTCACCATCGGAGCCTGGTAAGGACCCCAGGATCTCCTGCAATGATTTTGCAAAGTTTTTTTGCAGATAAAGGGCCATGTCCAGAACGTGGTGTTGGGGGATGAGTGTTCAGCCCCCTGGGCTCTCACTTGTGGGGTGCCTCAGGGTTCTGTCCTCTCCCCCATGCTTTTAAACATCTATATGAAGCCGGTGGGAGAGATCATCAGGGGGTTTGGGCTGGGTGTTCACCAGTTTGTGGATGATACCCAGCTCTACCTCTCTTTTAAATTGGAACCAGTGAAGGCAGTGACAAGAAATAAACTGGGATGGGGGGGTGGAATAACAACTCCTAGCAGTGATTGATTTATAACACAGAACACAACTACTTTATAATATGATCATGGGACATCCAAAAAGTATAAAACAATGCAGCTATGAATATGGAAGATTCCCAAAATATAATTATAAATGACAACTAGAATTGTCCTCAGTATCATTTGATGCTATTTCCTCTCTTTTGAAAAGATTTCTATCCATATTCTGCAAATAAAAAAATATTTTGATACTATACTATACACTCTGAACTGTTTAAATGTTTCTTTCATTGTCCTTGCATCTAGCCACCACGCTTGCCATCCTCTCCTGCCACACAGCATGGCATGCCACACTTTTTGAGAACCACTGTTGTAACCAAAAGGAAGGCTACGTGTCAGTCTACTGAACCTTATGAAAAGTTTAT